GTTAGCACTAGCGTTAGCATTAGCAGGAGGAGCAGGAGGCGCTGGAGAACCCACCAGGATGTCCGTCAGCAGCCGGTAGCTCTCGATCTCCGACGGCCTGTCAGGATGAGCCTCAGAGATCAGGCCGATGGCCACTCCGGCTACTGGAGAGGAGATCGGCACACCTGACACACACACACACACACGCACGCACACACACACACACACACAGTTATGACTCCCCCAGAAGAGCTGAGGTATGAGGAGTGTAAACACACACACACACACACACACACTCCAGCACAGGTGAGCTTACCTGCGTCCATCAGTGCCAGACTGCCTCCACACACTGAGGCCATCGAGGACGAGCCTGCACACACACACACACACACACACACACACACACACACACACACGACATGAGGAACACATTCACAAACACGTGCGCTGAGATGAAGGTGTGTGTGTGTGTGTGTGTATGTGTGTCCTACCGTTAGACTCCAGCACTTCTGAGGTGACGCGGATGGTGAAGGGGAAACTGGAGGGGATGACGGGTCTCAGAGCCTTCTCCGCTAGCGCTCCTGACACACACACACACACACACACACTGAGTCTGCATAAAGTGGTCAAGAGCTGCACACAGACACACAGACACACACACACACACACTGACCGTGGCCCAGCTCTCTGCGGTTGGCTCCGCCGGTTCTGCCGATCTCGTTAGTGGCGTAGGGAGGAAACTGTGGAACACACACTAGTGAGGGCAGATCAGTGCACACTACACTCACTCACACACACATGCAGACAGACACACACACACACACACACACACACACACACACACACACACACACACACACACACACACACACACACACACACACACACACACACACACACACACACACACACACACACACACACACACACACACACACACTCACTCACCTCATAGTGCAGCAGGAAGTTCTTGTCTTTGACTCCACTGCAAGACAAACAGCACACTGTTAGCGGGACACTGACCTCAGATCAGCACACACACATTCGTTTGTGTGTGTGTGTGTGTGTGTGTGTGGTTCACTCACCTGAGCGCTGAGGTGATCACGTCTGTCTTCAAACTGGACTCCAGAGAGTCAAAAGTCACTGAACACAGCACCTGCACACACACACACACACACACACGCATGCGCACGCACGCACGTTTGACAGTCACACACAAAAATGTGTGATTAGTATGTTATTGACATGTGACTTGTGTGACC